GTATAAGAAAGATCAAAAAGCTCTAAAGGTAGAGGTCTGAATTGGCCTTCTAGTTAATAAACACTGACCTACTTCTACAGGCCAGCATTGAGCAAGCTAAATTCTCCCTGTGATTTGAATGAAATCTTTGTGCAAAGACCACAAGACTGATAACCATGTGAAATAACAGAAAGGTATAAAAAGCTCTTCTATCATACAAATCCCATCACTAACAATTTATTGTAAAAAACCTTCATCTGTGACTTTCCAGTACAATAAAGCTGCAAAGCAAAGCACGCTTTGCAATTTATATAGGTTTTCTTCATCTAAGAGATGTGGTTGGTTATTTTGTGTGGTGTTTCTTATTTTAATGAGAATTGTGTTTATATAGTAAATCAAGGAAACGTTCGGTGTTATAAGACGAGCAGAACAGAAGCTGTTTCTATCACGCACCTTTCAAGGGAATCATAAGGCTCTCTTCAAAGTTGAGTTAGCCAACAATGGTGATTGTCTAGACATGATGTAGGCTCCTCAGTAACTTCGATATAGCCATGAACCTTGGAAACTAGGCCCATTGAGAGAAACAATGTGTGCTTGAACTCGGAGACACAGGTGGAACCATTCAAAGTTAGTGCGCACTATGGACTCACTTCTTGCTACAGGTTTTCCTTCATATGTGCTTTTTGATGGATGTAACAGACTGGCTCTTCATGTCTCTTTGGATGCATATAACAAGACAGCCGTGTATAAAACTCACTTGCCTTTCATTTTTGGATATCTATTAAAGATCTATCTTACCATTATGTCACCATGCTAAGTCTGCCCTTCTGCTTTTGCACGTCCCTCAGGGCGCTCCTACAATGTAGTTACGATTCTGCACAAAAGTCCATGTTTTCCTCTTTGCTTTGCTGCTTATGGACCCCGTGAAAGGGGAAGTATTCAGTGTGGTGCATGTGGAATTAGACAGACATCTGTCACAATAGCAAGATCACTTAAAATTAATTCCCCAAAGAGAATGTTAAAAAGACACCCCAGTTCTTTGCGCCTCGTTAGGTCTATCAGCGGGGACATATAATGATGGACATGTCAATTGTTTTAGCGGCAACTTTCATTTAACTTATGTCAACTTTCCATTCAACTTAACATTTGTTCTTTGTTTTCAAGTTTGGGGTTTGGGGGTTTTTTATCTCTTTTTTTCCAATACTTTCACTGATCCCTCACCCCTGCCTGAAAAGGATTTATAAAGCAGTTGTCCTTTTCTTGAGAAATCTTAAATTATTTTATCTGATTACAGAGGAAAAGTATTGCAAAATATTACCCAGGTTCTTGGAGACCTCTGCTGGCGATATCTTTGTTATTTTTTTGTTGTTGTTCTTTTTTAATCCTTTCACGTTGTGTTTGTTAGTGCAAAGTAGGGCAAAACTACTATAACCCCCCCCC